TCTATCGGTCGACTGATCAGTCGACCGAAGGGCAAATTTTCAGTCATCAGTCGACTGATCAGTCGACTAACGGGCTGATTGTGTTTTCTCAGCTTCTCAGTCGACTGATCAGTCGACCGGTGAGCTGAGGCTGTGCTGCCTGAGCCTTATCGGTCGACATATGAGTCGACTGACGTCATCAGTCGACACATCAGTCGACTGATGAGATGTTTTACAGATTCTTGATCTGTTTGAGTTGCTTTTCGGGGTCGAGCCTTATCGGTCGACATATGAGTCGACTGACGTCATCAGTCGACACATCAGTCGACTGATGAGATGTATTACAGATTCTTGATCTGTTTGAGTTGCTTTTCGGGGTCGCCTCGATAACCTGGCCCTAGTTTACCATGTTAATGATTTATCTGTACACGTGGGTTGACTTTTGACACAAGTTTAGACATGTACACCGAGATGCGGGCGAGTTTAGATTATGTATACCTGTCCTCATATACTTTTCACAGTTACACAGTCCTCGTGTTGGACTATAATCCATGGAAGTCCTCGTGTTGGACTATAATCCATTTCAGTCCTCGTGTTGGACATTTGCCACTAATTCTATGTGTTTGGAAACCACAATATCTAGTCTCTGTATCAGACATACTTTCTTAACCCTGTATATGACTTTCTCACAGGAGTTTATGACATGACACTTATGTAGATTATAACATGGCATACATGTAAGTAATAAAATGATGCTCATGTAAGCTATGACATGGCACTGTACTTATGCTCTGAGATTAGTTTGTATTTCTTTTATTATTGTTTCCTGTACTAGAACCTCGGGTTTAGTGTTTAGGGATTTACAATTTGAGATACAAGGTATATACATGAAGGTTTCCTTGTTTGGATTATTTTGCTCGACGTACCTATGCTCGTGTTGTAAATTTCTAAATATATCTATATTTTCTTATACAACGAGCCCTGTTCCCTTGGGGTTGGTTGTGATGTTGCTCGCTATCGCTTTGACACTCGTTGTCCCTCCCCCTTTCAGGTAACGAGCCAGGAGCCCGGAGAGTCGCAGGTTGATGGCGACACACTTTAGTGTTCAGCTATCTATTTTAGCTAGGATTTATTTTGGAGCTCCACTGTAGATTTGTTTGACATTGAGAACTATTCTCTAGATGTTGTAAAGGTTGTATGCCTTATTTCCTTTACTCAGATATTTGTAATTGAGACTTGTTGAGTATTCCAGTTATCTATTCAGACATTAGCTATGTATTTCTGTATGTTGGATGATGAGATATTTATGTGATCACTATCACTTTATCAGTTATTTCTTGCACTATCTTTTACTTGCTTTTGTACCTACACCTATTGCTGACTCTGCTAGATAGATGTTAATTGTGATGGTGAAACATGTTATTGCATGGTAAGGTGCAAGGCAGGTTTGACATTCTTAGTTTCACATTGGACTGCAGCCTTGTGTGAACCCAGGGACGTCACATGCACAAAAACATAAGAATATTAATCCTTCTTGTGCATCTCATAAGGCTTCTTCTTCATCACATGTACACACACATGCACCCATTGTTCATCATAAGCATTCTAATGTGTATCATTGTGATTTTTGTGGTAGAGTTGGTCACTTAGCCAAGTTTTGTTTTGATTTGCGAAAAGTTTCTAAATCGCAAAATATTTCAAGTAGACCAACATTATTTCAAAATGTTTCTCATTTGCAAAATAATCTTAAAAGACCATCTTTACTTGCAAATGTTCCTCGTGCACATCCACATGGTCAACATAACCAAATGCATCCTCTTCATTGCACTTATTGCAATCGAATGAGTCATTTACATAATTATTGCTATGACCGGACCCGTGCACTAAATGCGCCCAAATGAGTTCATAACGCTAGGGTTTTGAGCTTGAATGATAGGGGTCATGTTCCTAAATCTTTTGGTACCAAGAGTTCTTGGGTACCAAAACAAATTTAATTTTTAAACCAAGAATTTTAGAGTTTTTATTTTCCTTTTTCTTGGTTTTGAAAAATGTATTTTAAACTTTTGTGAAAACAATTCCTTTTATTGGTCAAATTCTTTTGTTTTCATAATTCCTAGTTTTGATTTTGATGAGAGGTTTGTATTTATATAACCCTCCGGATTTATTGGGTGTTTATTTCTAAATCATGTTTACCAGATGCTAGAATGATTATATAGGTTGGAACAAGCTTAAGAGCTTGATATATTGTTGTCTCTCTTGAAATTCTTTTATCAAAGATTTTGTTTTGAATTATTGCTTTGAATTCATTATATTTCACTTATATGATGATATTTATGTGTTTGTGCTTATGGATCATCTATTCGTGCCTTATAATGTATTCCATATGTGGTTTGATCAAATCTCACAAAGAAAATTTTCTTGATTGATCAAACATCGTTTTTGGATTTAAACTTTAATTTATGATTTCTTTTTGTTGATTTGTTTTCATTTGAAAACTTTTTGCATAATTCTCATGTTTCTCTTCTTTTGATTTCATAAATCTACCTATACAAATGGTTTTTATGTTCTTTGATATGAGACACTATTTTTCACCTTGATATATTTATATATGTTCTCATTGTCTTTATGTATGTGAGTTGTATTTTAGCATTTTTTTCCATCTATGCTTGCTCACATGTTTTTGCCTTAGTCTTCTTTTCATATATTTTATATGGCATTTTGATAGGGGGAGCTATTCCCTATTCTATGTGTTATACTCACCTATGCTTATTGATAGGGGGAGCTTTCGCTCTCTTAATTCTTTTGTCCCCTTTTTGATGTTGTCAAAGGGGGAGAAATATTATGAGTATATTCCTTCTTGTTTATATGCATGCGAATTATAATTTATATATTCATTTATATTTTTCCCTGTCGTGAAGCTCACAACCATCAGAGTGGTGTTGAGTTTGGTAGCTACAGAAGACATCTTTCTTGAGCAGTTAGATGTGAAGACTGTCTTTTGTTGGCCTTCTTGTTTTGATGATGTTTAACAAACAATTTACCACTAATGTTGTTTGTCTAGTATTTATGTTTTCTTATTTATTATAGACAAACAACGTAGTTGGAGGATGGATGGATTGCGCCATAACGATCATATCACCGCAAAGTGTACCAAGTCAAGCTTATTGAAGATCAAGATCGGCTTGGGTAATTTAGTATAGGTTTATATTATGTGTGTTAAATACGTTAAGCTCAATATCTATACACACACATTTATTGGTTTCTTCGTATATATATATTGTCATCATCAAAAAGGGGGAGATTGTTGGCCTTCTTGTTTTGATGATGTTTAACAAACAATTTACCACTAATGTTGTTTGTCTAGTATTTGTGTTTTCTTATTTATTATAGACAAACAACGTAGTTGGAGGATGGATGGATTGCGCCATAAACGATCATATCCAAAGGAGGTCGGCGGAATGTCGGTGAAGCCTTGCAATTCAAAGTTAAAGATCAAGTTCAAGCTTCATCCGCATGTGTACCAAGTTGAGCTACAATGAAGATCAAGATCAAGCTTGGGTAATCTAGTTTAGATTTTATATTATGTGTGTTAAATACGTTAAGCTCAATTATTTATACACACACATTTTATTAGTTTCCTTGTATATATATGTAATCACATATATATACAACACAAGTTTTGGTTTTCATGTTTATAAATATGAAATTACATGTTTCATATTTATTATTGTGATTTGGTTTATCTACATAGATATGAAACAAATATATTTTCATATACATACTCATAGGTTTCATTTTCTATTGTATTTGTGAAAATATTGTATTCTTAGTTTATAGACTTCAATATCAGTTTATACATGTTTTACTAAGTCTACAAAAACATTTCACAAAGTTTCAAAAGTTGGTTTATGTCAAAACATCAAAATTCAAGTATCTCATATTTTCATGTTTTGGACTAGTTTGTAAAATGATGATATTTTTCATTTGGGAAGTCCTTTTTCGAAACCAGTCGTTGTAGCATGTTTATTATCATGTCTACAATCATTCCCCAAAGTTTTACATTTTTTGGAATTTATTTGATATTTTTAAACAGTGTTTTAAAATCAGCAAAACAACCGATTTTTTCTGGAATGTCAGTTTTCGGTCGACCGGTACGATCGACCGGTCAATTGACCATTCGTCAGTATTTTTCCAGAGAGTCATCGGTCGACCGGTCCGGTCGACCGAGAGCTCAAATCGGTCGACCGACAGAATTTCCGGTCGACCGACGATGGTCCAGAACGTTTTCTTCGTGTTTTTGCTCTCATCGGTCGACCGACGGAATTTTCGGTCGACCGACAATAGATCCGTTGGACTTCAACGGGCTATTTCTGAGCTGACTCTTCTGGGGCATTTTGGTCTTTCTGTTTTGGGGTTTTTGCTGATATTTCCTCTTCCTATATATACCCCATTGCTGATGTCTTTTCAGAAAAACCAAGAGAGTTTTTAATCAAGTTTAATAAAGCTTTTAACAAGGGTTTTAGTTTGGTTTAAGTGTGTTTAAAAAGCTTTTAAGCAAATTGAGAGTTTGTTTTTGTGATTCAATTCTACAAGAGCTTGAGGAGATCATCTATTGGTGTTTGGGCATTCAACTATTCTCCCTCCAACTCTTGATATATTGAGAAGTTTTCTAAACTCTATTTCTAGCTTTTTTATATATTTGATTATCATTGTTATTAAGCTAGAACTACATTGAGTTTAGTTTTGATTTATATCTCTTTGTTCACACACAACCTTTTGAGCTTATTGTATTTACATTCATAGTATAATTTGGGGTTGTGGGTTTGTGACTAAGAGTTGTGCTTAATTGAGTTCTCACACTGTAGCAACAGTATCAACCTAGATGGATTTCCGTCTAGGTTGATGCAACCTAGACGGAATTCCGTCTAGATTGCTCAGCTACAGTAGTTTTTTTTTGCAGAACCTACATTGCATGCTATATAATATCACATGTAAACGATATTGTACAACACCAAATCATATTCATATCCAACACAATCGATCTAATTATATTTCAATATCAAATATAATTATATTCAAATAATACATTCACCAAAAAACTAGAAAGATACATAATTTTTTACATAGATTATAAAGAATACAATTGTTTACATAACTTGATGAACTTTGCATAATTTATAAAATCCAATTGCATTTACTCCTCCAAGTTGTTGAAGCATCATGTTTCTTCCTCCTTGATCCTACATTATACAAAATTCAACATCAATTAGTCCATGCCTGAAATACACTTAGAAAGCATTAACTTTGCAAAAGAACTAATAGGGAAATCAAAATATTGGATTGAGTGTTTTTAACTATACGCATATATGAAATTTACCTCTAGTCGACTTGAATTATCTGTAAGTGTAACATCTGCTCCCAGTTTTGCTACTACCAAGCCCGGCAAAGAAGTTCCAACGCCAAGCTGCTCCTAGAAAGGGAAGGAATCAAACTGTTTGCATTTGAAAGGTCTGAACAATTAACAAAGCAAATGGACATATATAAAATTATATATAAAGAAAGATTTAACGGATAAATTATGCCATTGAAAATGGACAGATTGCCCAAAGCAGAAGTAAATAGCATCGATCCAACTATCCTTTACACCTGGATATTCTCCCAAATAGAAATCTTGTTTTGTACCAGAAAATTAAAAACTCAGACGCTGGTATTCATTTCCAATAACCAATAGAATAAACTTGTTAGTAACTTCATTATCATGTCACACATGAAAGGTAAACAACATATGTCATGTATCAGCTATCAGAATTAAACAGTATTTATAAGTGGTGGCTACCTTCATGTTTAGATCCTTGAAAAGATTAGGAGTACCAAAAATGCATCGAGCTCCAGTTCCATAAAGTTCGAACACCTGTGAGAAATAAATCTTAGGTACACAAGTCAACTTTTGATTGCAGGAGTAGGAATACTAGAATAGTACTCAGTAGACTTATATTTTGGTAACTATGAAACATGACCAAAAAAGATACATAAGCATTAGCTAAGAAATGAACTTGTTTAATTCTGACAGCATCCCCCCCCCCTCTCTCTTAGAGGCCATTCAAGAATGCCATAAAGGAAATCCATCTACAAATGAGCATTCTGAAAATGAGCTGAACAGTTCCATTTACAAATGGGCATTCTGAAAATCTTCTATTTAGATTCCAAGTTGAAATCTTGGAGGGCTAAAATTAAAATGAATGGAAATCATGAGTTATATATATTAGTATTTCATGAAGACTTCAGAAAATTTGAGTAGATAGATTGATAGATATGTGTGTGTGTGTACAAGCTTTTCATAATGGTAGCAGAATTCTCAGTAACCGAATGGTTCAAGAGTTTGAAATAGACAGATGAAGCAACTTCTGAGAAACATAAAGCTATTGCTTAGTGTTGGGAACACTTCGCCAAATACAATCATTGTGAAAACGGCGAAGGAATTGTGAAAAACGTGAAGAATAACCCAAAACAGACTCCACCACACCCTGGTGTGGTGTCTGCCATGGGTGTGGTAGAATCTGTCCTGCACCACACCCTCTACCACACCCACGGTGCAGGGTGTGGCAGAATCTGTCATGCACCACACCCTCTGTCACACCCATGGTGCATGGTGTGGCAGACTCGTTTTTAGAATCCTCCTTTGTATGAGAATCATCCTTTGTTTGGGATTGTGTTTTATTATAAATAGGACCATGTTTTTTAGGGTTTCTTAAGGAGAGAAAAATTGTGAGAGGGAGATATTGTGAGCAAGGTGAGATCTTTGGTTGAGGGTTAGTTTGAGAGAATTTGTGTGATTGTAACCCTTTGTACTCTCCTTGATTTAGTGAAATCTCCCCATCCTCTCCCCGTGGACGTAGGCAATTGCCGAACCACGTATATCTCTGTGTTTGGTTTGATTTGTCGTATTTGGCTTGATTTGTGCAAGAGTGTGGCTTTCTTCTTCCGTGATCTCAAGTTCGTTGTGTGTGCGTGCAACGCTTTCGCATAGGCGCGCGACAAGTGGTATCAGAGCTCAGATTTCAGATCTAGGGTTTTGGATTAGGTGAAGGAAGATTCAGTTGGAAGCTTGATTCTTGGAGTTCTAGGCTTTGGTGGAGTTAGGGTTTGAAGTTGCCGTTGAAGATCTCGCTTTCCTCGTGTGGTTAGGAGTTCTATTTGGAATCCAATCAAGGGTTCAGTTGGGTAATTTCTTATTCTTTTCAAAGTTTGGATCTTTCTCTACAATTTGGAATTTATGATTATGGATGAAGAAGTTGGTGAAAGCAGCAAGATGACAGGCACAGTTCAAGTGGGTTTTCAGAACACTAAGATTAGTGTAGTGAAATATGATGGCAAGATCAATTTTGGTTTATGGATGAGCGACGTACAGGATGCGCTCAATGCTCAAAATCTGGAGGAGACCATCATGGTCGATGTGAGGCCACCTAAATATGAGAGGCGATATGGGGAAAGATGAATCGAAATGCTTGCGGGGTGATCAGGTCCTGTTTGGTACAGGAGCTGAAATACGATGTGATTGGGGTGACGTCTGCAATGAAGATGTGGGAGATTCTCAACAACAAATATCTCACGAAGAGTGTTGAGAACAGGTTACACTTGCTACGAAGATTATTCAGATTTCAGATGTCCAGAGGCACCTCGCTTGCGGCTCATGTGAACAACTACACTAAGTTGTTGTCGGACTTGGCGAACGTGGATGAGAAGATCACAGATGAGTACAAGGCTATTATTCTTTTGGGCTCCTTACCAGATGAGGAGTATGATACCTTCGTGCTTACGTTGTTGAACGAGAGATCTTCTATCACTTATAGTGAAGTGACTAACGCATTGACGAACTATGATTTGAGGAGGAAGGATAAGGAGACTTCCCGCGCTAGTACTTCAGGAGAGGCCTTGTCGACGAGAGGTAGAAGCTCATATCAGAAAGGTGGAAATAGAGGGAGGTCAAAGTCAAGAGGTCATCACCAGCTTGGAAAGAATCAATGTGCATTCTGCAAAGAGCAGGGACATTGGAAGAGAGACTGTCCGAAAGTCAAAGAAAAGGAGAATAGCAAGAATAAGGGCCCGAAGGCCAATGAGGTGAATGTTGCGAAAGGCGATGATTCTGATGATTCGAGCTTTTCTCTTTTGATTACTCCGGAGGTGAACCATTTGGATGTATCAGAGTGGATGCTTGATTCTGGCGCTACTTATCATGTGACTCCTAGGCGAGATTGGTTCTCATCATTTGAGAGACTCGACGGGGGTGTTGTTGTCATGGGAAATGATCAATCCTGTGGCGTTTGTGGGATAGGTACTGTGAGGATTCAGATGCACAATGGAGTAGTCCATGAGTTGAAGGAGGTGAGATTCGTTCCTCAACTGAAGAAGAACCTTATCTTAGTTGGAGCTCTGGAGGCGAAGGGATTCAGGGTGACCTTTGAGGATGCTGTAGCGAAGGTTACTAAAGGATCTTTGGTGGTGATGAAGGGAGTCCACAGTCATAATTTATACTATCTGAAGGGGAGCACCAAGATTGGCTAGGTTGCTTCGGCTATTTCAGAGGCGGACATGAGCAGACTTTGGCATTACAGGTTAGGGCACACATGAGAGAAGTCACTGCAGGCTTTGTGCAAGCAGGGGCTATTGAAGGGAGCCAAGAGTGGAAAGATTGAGTTCTGTGAGCACTGTGTTCTTGGCAAAAAGACAAAGGTGAAGTTCAGGACGACCATTCATAGGACGAGGGGCATCTTGGACTACGTGCATACAGATGTTTGGAGTCCCACCAAGACGGCATCACTTGGTGGTCAACATTGGTTTGTCACATTTGTTGATGACTATTCTAGGCGTTGTTGGGTGTACACCATGAAACATAAGAGTGAAGCCCTAGATTTGTTTGTGGAGTGGAAGAAAAGATTGGAACTGCAGACTGGGAGAAAGATCAAGACGTTGCTATCCGACAACGGCGGCGAGTATACTTCAGACCCCTTTCAGCAGCTATGTCGAGACGAGGGCATAGAGAGGCACTTCATAGTTAGTCATACACCGCAGCAGAATGGGGTGGCAGAGAGGTTAAATCGGTCTTTGCTGGAGAAGATTCAATGTTTATTGGCGCATAGTAGTTTGGAGAAGATCTTTTTTGCTGAGGCACTTTCTTATGCGAGCCACCTCATTAATAGGCTGCCTTCATCTGCGATTGAGGGGAAGACCCCTATGGAGATGTGGTCGGGAGAGACAGCACATGACTATGACCAACTTAAGGTATTTGGTTGCCCTGCATATTTTCATGTTAGAACTGATAAGTTGGAACCTCGAGCTAGGAAGGCCATATTTGTAGGATTCAAGTGTGGTGTCAAGGGATACAAGCTTTGGGATCCAGTTGATAAGAAGATTGTGCTGAGTAGGGACGTCACATTCGATGAGGCTTCTATCTTGAAGCTTCCCAGCTCTCATCAGGTGGAGAGCGACCCGACAGAGGAGATTTCGCAGGTGGTGGAGAGTGATGCAGCTCCACAGAGTCCAGATAGTACAGTATCCATTAGAGTGCCGACTGAGGTGACGCCAGGCGAGCACGACGGTGATGCGGTGGATACGGGTACTCATGAGTAGGACCAGGGACCGATAGCTCAGGTTCAGGATTCTATTGCGGCACGGAGACAGAGGAGAGACATACGGGTGCCAACATGGTATGCCGACACAGTTGCATATGTACTTCCGGTGGAGAGTATCGATGAGATGGTGTCTACCACATTCAGAGAGGCCGAGCAGAGTTCGGAGGCTGATTCGTGGCAGGTGGCTATGCAGGAGGAGATGGAGTCCCTTCATAAGAACGATACATGGGAGCTTGTTGAGCTTCCAAAGGGGCGGAAGGCGATTGGGTGCAAGTGGGTGTACACGAAGAAGGAGGGCATTGAGGGCACTCCAGTGACATTCAAGGCTAGGTTGGTTGCGAAGGGCTATGCACAGGAGGAAGGTATTGATTACAATGAGGTTTTCTCTCCGGTGGTGAAGCACTCTTCGATTCGGATTTTGCTAGCTTTGGTGGCACAGTATGGTTTGGAGTTAGATCAGTTGGATGTGAAGACGATATTTCTTCATGATGATCTTGATGAAGAAATATATATGACTCAGCCATTAGGATTCTGAGCTGTAGTTGGTTTGCAGGTTAAAGAAATCACTATACGGTTTGAAGCAATCTCCTCGATAGTGGTATAGGCGATTCGATGGTTTTATGCTTGGTCATTCGTACACTCGGAGCCAGTTTGATCCTTACGTGTATTTTCGCAAGTTGAGAGGAGGTGCGTACATTTATTTGTTGCTTTATGTCGATGACATGTTGGTTGCCTCTAGTTCCAGGTCAGCTATAGATGAGTTAAAAGTTCAGCTTTCAAATGAGTTTGAGATGAAGGACTTGGGCGAGGCGAAGCACATTTTAGGGATGGAGATCAATAGAGACAAGAAGAAGGACAAGATTTATTTGACACAGGTGGCTTATTTGAAGAAGGTTCTATAGCGATTCCATGTTAGCATGAATACGAAGCCAGTTGGTGTACCTTTGGGAGCCCATTTGAAGCTTTTAGCTGGCCTTTTACCGAAGTCAGTTGAAGACCATGAGTTGATGACAAAGACTCCATATGCGAGCGCAGTTGGGAGCTTGATGTACGCGATGGTATGTACAAGGCCGGATTTGTCACAGGCGATGAGCATGGTGTCGAGATACATGCACGATCCAAGAGTGGGTCATTGGGACGCCGTGAGATGGATTTTGAGGTACATTCAAGGTACGCTCAATGTTGGTTTGGTTTATGAGCGGGACACTACAGGTGGGCAGTTATGCATTGGATATGTTGATTCAGATTATGCCGGGGATTTGGATAAGCGTCGGTCTACTAC